CCCCAAAACCCCAAAACCCCAAAACCCCATATTTATAAGCTGATATTGGCAATAAGATTATAAAATAAATACAATACGTCAGACCAATAGACAATTCCATTTCAAATCTTCTGAAGGTCCTCGAAATGCAAGTTTGGGTTAGAGTTGACCCCACCAATCGCTAGCATTGGTACTGAATAGTACACCCTAAAGAAGGACTATATGAAGTCTCCTAGGTCCTTTGTAGTTACAAAGACCACAGATATGACCAAAATTTTACTAAGCATAGACCTTAACTGCATAACAGCAATGAAAGTTGTTGAAGGCTGTTGAAAGGATCTTTCTATATGGCTTACTTTTCTTTACTATAACATTCCTCCTTTAAATTACTCATTAGTTGCTTTGGAAGAATGAATGGCAACATCGTCACTAATGATGGCAAGCTGAAGCATTAGCTTACATTTTGAAACTATCTCATATGCATATCTGGTAAACATAAACCTTCAGCTGTGCAAGAAATTGACTGTGCTCCTTGGTGTTATATAAACATGCATTGACAGTTTGGAATACTTCTTTTGAATGTTAAATTTATAGATTTGCTACACTGCATTTTTATGTGTTAATGCCACTTTTATTATGCCACAAATACATTAATGGGTCTAAATGTCTGAACTTCTCTCCAAATGAATTATAGTGTAAATAAAGCTACTTTTTAAGGATTAACAAAAGTGCTTTGGATTAAAGCTGCATTCAGGTTTAATAGCACTTATTTTATTCATTAATTTCTCTACAGTTTCACCAGGGAAATAGTACTTACTTGGCTATTTTTAAAAGAGAGAGCTTTATTTGACCGAGTACTAGTTCTACTGTGTAAACTAGGTGTGCAATCTGAGGAAAATTACCTTCCGAGCTAAAGATTATGTCAATTCCGATATGATCTTGATCTTCTGAATATTACAGATTTTAAGTAATTCACAAATGTGCAAAGAAAATCAAACATTGTATTACAGAAGATTCAGCTCATATCTTATGATAAGCTGGTCTTTCGAAAAGATAGGAAGAACAGCACTCTAACTCAAGAAGTCTGCTATATTGAAGGAAGAGAGAAAGCAACCCACTTCTCATCCTACAAATACTAAAGTATATAAATCCGGTAAGATATCTCACTCTAAAGCTCATTCTGCTTTCTTTCAGTATGCTAGACCTGACGAAAAATGGCTGGAAGCTACAAGAAGCAAATATAAAGCACAGAGGAAGCTTTGAATAATTTGGTAATTTAGTTCTAAAAGCATTCGGAATTTTCAAAGCTAGAATAAATTCTTTATATAAAATAAATTAATGTAGTATGGAGAGTATCATAATACCATTGCTTAAAATAGAGGTAGAAGAAGGAAACAAACACTGGGTTACCTCTTTGGACTGTAATGTAGACAGGCATACTATTTTTGGGGATAGTAGAATGTTTCTCTAGCTTGATATTTGTCAGAGCATCAGTGTAAGTCAATATTCTCAATACTCTAAAGGCCACCTTGTTTGTTTACGTATTCTATTGTCTGAACACAATTAATCAAACTGGGTACTTAGCGCTATATAGAGTATTCGCAGTAGAATGACTCGGATATTACAAGGAGTTCAGGAACTTGCAAAAAATAAATATGTAAAACCAGGCAATGTTCCTTCTCACTCAAATGCTCTAACATTAATATTTAATGTTTAGCACCAAGAAAACATTTAGGGGTTTTGGGGTTTTGGGGTTTTGGGGTTTTGGGG